TTCATTTCCTCTGCCCATTTTTTGATCGGGTTGTTTGTTTTTTTGTTGTTCAGTTGTGTGAGTTCTTTATATATTATGGAGATTAACCCCTTGTCAGATATATGTTTTGCAAATATTTTCTCCCAGCTGGTGGGTTGTCTGTTCATCTTCATTCTGGTTTCATTATAAAAGCTATTTTAATGTCCATTTTCATTAATTCCTCTGTTTCAATTCCAGGTTTGTTTCAACTGATTGATTTTTCTCCTCATTATGGGTTGTATTTTTCTGCTTCTTTGCCATGTCTGGTAATTTTTTATTGGATACCAGACACTGTAAATTTTTACATTATTGGATGCTGGATGTTTTTGTATTCATAGAAATATTCTTGAGTGTTGTTCTAGGATACGGTTAAGTTACCAGGAAACTCCTTGATCCTTTCTGGTCTCACTTTTAAATTTTGTTAGGTAAGACCAGAGCATCACCAGTCTAGAGTTAATTTTCTCCATTCTTGAGACAAAACACTTCTAAATACTCTTCCTGATGCACGATGAGTTATGAGGTTTATCATCTTAGCTGGTGGGAACAGCACTATTCCTGGTCCTCTGTGAGCTGCGAAGACTATTACGTCTAATCCCTTTGTCAATATTTAGTAACATTGAAATTATGCATAACCTATGACCCAGTAATTCAATTGTGGACAAACAGCTGCAATGTCTATTAGACGACAAGTGAAAGCATATTCACTGCAGCATTGTTTGAAATACCAGAAAAGGTAAAGCTTCCTAAATGCCCATCAGTGATGGATAGATTTATCGATGATGATAAACTCACAACACAGAATAATATGGTGTAGTTTAAACCAATAAACTAGAGCTATACGTACCAATGTTGAAAGATCTGAAAAATAAGGTAGAGTTAAAAAAAAGCAAGTTGCTAAAAAAAAAATACAGCAGAATACCACTTATGTAAGTTTTTAAAAATACCTAGAAAACACTAAGAATTAAACACATAGTAAAATTACAAATATTAGTCAAGATACTTTGTTAACAAACAGCTCCACAATCTCGCTGGCTTAACAAAACAGAAGGGTTTTGTTGTTGTTGTTCATGCTGCAGACTGCATGCCGGAAGGAAGGAAGGAAGAAGATTTTGCTCATTGCAGCCACTCTGGGACCTAAGCTGAAAGAGGTTCTACCTCCTTCCTCGATTACTTTAGCAAGAGGGAGGGTGAACAGTGAATTGCATGCCAGCTCTGAAGTCTTCCACCTAGAAGGGATACATATCATTTCCACTTGCACTCCATTCAGCAAAAAGCAAACCACAAGTCCACCTCTAACTTCAAAGAGGGACAGGGAAGTACTATCTGACCTCACGCCCAGCAGAAAAAGAACAGGAATCTGTGAACAGCTCTAGTGACTATATACAAAATATAATGGCAGAGCTGGAAAATAAGCTCCAAATTCGTAAGTGCTTGCCCCTAGGTAAGGAGGGAGGGAGGGAATGGAATCAGAGAGAGGTAGAAATTGGATTTCATCTTAATCTGTAATGTTCCTTTTCACAATTTTGTTTAAAAGTCAGAGAAAATAAATGCAGAATTCCTGAACGTAATACTACCAGAGATTTTTATTCAATACATCTACATTAGGGCTCCAGTATCTATATATTTTTAAAGACAAAAAAATACGTAAAACAATTTTTTGAGGTATAATTGACAAATAACATTATATTAGTTTCAGGTACACAACATAATCATTCAATATTTGTATATATTGTGAAATAATAACCACAATAAGTCCCGTGAACATCCATCACCATACGTAGTTACAATTTTTTTTCCTGTAACGAGAACTGTTAAGATTGACTCTCTTCGCAACTTTCAAATATGCAACAGAGTATTATTAACTATAGTCACCATGCTGCACATCACATCCCTAGTGCTTACTTATTTTAAAACTGGAAGTCTGTACTTTTGACCCCCTTCCCCCATTTTGTCCAAACCCCCACAAAAAACATTTTAAAAACAAAATATTTTAATAAAACATTTGCTAATTTGGGAGAGGGTGTGTATGTATGGTTATATCATCCTCCATACTTTACCTTATTTTTTTTTTTTTTACATCTCAAAAGAAATAATACTCAAAGGAAATAATCTAGTTTAGTCTTTTAATTTCATAGATGTAAAACTAATACCCAGAAAAATTAAGCAGTTTTCCCAATATGCCCAGCTAAAAGTCACATCACACAATCTATTCACTAAGTCCAGTAATATGTTATTAAAATTGAAGGATACCAAGCCTATTAATAACACTCATTATAATATCATAAAATATTAGAACATTCATTATAAAAATTCGTAAAGCTCTAGTAATACTAAATTTATGTGATTAAAATTTAGGATACTAATATTACCTTCAGGAAATAATTTGTGTAACATTTATATGATTTAATGCTTAAGAATTTCAGAGATTAGCTTAAGAATGAAAAAACACTAAACTTTCTTGTTCTATATTGACTATATTTAGAATCAAAATGAAATCAGACACTTAGAACTGAAATCTTACCTGTTCGTTTATTTCTGTCCACATAACAATACTTTAACTCATAGTCTTGTAATAAATCATGAACTTCCTGAAAGAGACAAAACGTGAGTTCAATAAACACACAAATGCAGACAGTGGACAATCCAGCTGTATTTGCCTACCACCACTACCACCACAATCACCACCATCACCACCACCAGACCCCATGTGAAAAATCTCCCATTACTTATTAAATTAAAGGCATTCAAGGCCCAGCAGATATGGCACCAACCTACCTGCTCAAATATATCCCCCAATACACCCCCTGCACGGACCCACATTCCTGCTGGAATGATCATCCTCTGCTTCGTGAATGTACCAGGCACAGCCCTTACTCTGAATTTCTGCTTACGCTGGTGCCTTGACCCAGCATGGGGCAAACATACCACAAAGCTTCCAAACTTCACCTGAAATCACATCCATCCTTTGAAGTCCCAGCTCAAATGTTCTTCCATGAAGCTTTTCCAACTCTTTTCCACAAAATGACACCTCTCCACCCCTAATGCTAACAACCGTCATACTTTACTTATGCCTATCTCATAGAAATAATATTCAACATTTCTATTTGTGTACTACATACTAAGTTTATAACAAGTAACACACTTGTAGATGCTCATAGTACCGGCATGTAGGATAAATAAACTATAAACCTAATTTAGGGATTCCTGGGTATGAAAACAAGGAACCAGCACTCAGGTACGGTTTGGAGTCCCATTTATTTCCCGGTGGCTCCCCAAGATGTTTCAACTGGCTTTCGGGTCTGCGCTGCTTCTATTACTAATCCAGTCTGAACTTTTTCCTTCGGATATCATAAGTTCCATCCACCTGGAGGCCTGAAAGAGCCTATTTCCTCTGTATTTCCCTAATCCTTCCCGTTAAATTGATAATACTTAAATATAGGCACTGTATTTCATATATTTGTATATTATCTGTATTGCTTTGCATATGTTAAGCACTCAAATATACATTAAAGTGAATATAATTTAATTATTTCATCATTGAATTGATATTTGACCTTGAAAAATTTACTCATAACATACAATAGCTGCAAATTGTTTCAATTATTTTACTGAGATCATAATCGTTTATAACATTGTATAATTTCAGGTTTGCATTATTATTTATCAGTTTCTGTATAGACTGCATCATGCTCACCACCAATAGTCTAATTTTTATTTGCCACCATACATATGTGCCCCATTACCCCTTTTACCCATCCCTCCCTTCCCCTCTGGTAACCACTAATCTGTTCTAACCATGTGTTTGTTTATCTTCCACATATGAGTGAAATCATGCAGTGTTTGTCTTTCTCCGTCTGGCTTACTTCACTTAATATCATACTCTCAAGGTCCATCCATGTTGTTGCAAATGAGATGATTTTGTCTTTTGTGTGTGTGTGTGGTGACGCAGATTAGCCCTGAGCTAACATCTGTTGCCAATACTCCTCTTTTTGCTGAGGAAGATTGGTCCTGGGCTAACATCTGTGCCCATCTTCCTCTACTTTATATGTAGGACGCCTGCCACAGCATGGCTTGATAAGTGGTGCATAGGTCCATGCCCAGGATCTGAACCTGCGAACCCCAGGCTGTCAAAGCGGAGCATGACAGCCACAGAACTTAACCACTATGCCACTGGGCCGGCCCCCATTTTGTCTTTTTTCATGGCTTAGTATTCCATTATACATATACATATATACCACATCTTCTTTACCCACTTATCAGTTGATGGGCATTTGGGTTGCTTCCACATCTTGGCTATTGTGAATAACGCTGCAATAAACATAGGGGTGCATAAATCTCTTTGAATTGCTGATTTCAACATATTTGGATAAATACCCAGTAGTGGGATAGCTGGACCGTATGGTATTTCTATCTTTAATTTTTTGAGAAATCTCCATACTATTTTCCATAGTGGCTGCACCAGATTGCATACCCACAAGCAGTGTATGAGGGTTCTCTTTTCTCCACATCCTCTCCAACATTTGTTATTTTGTGTCTTGTTAATTATAGCCATTCTGAAAGGTATAAGATGATATCTCACTGTAGTTTTGATTTGCATTTCCCTAATAATTAGTGATGTTGAACACCTTTTCATGTGCCTATTGGGGCCATCTGTATATCTTCTTTGGAAAAATGTCTGTTCATATCCTCTGCCCCTTTTTTGATCAGGTTGGTTTTTTTTGTTGTTGTTGAGTTGAATGAGTTCTTTATATATTTTGGAAATTAACCCCTTGTTGGATATATGGTTTGCAAATATTTTCTACAAGTTGGTGGGTTGTCTTTTCATTTTGTTCATGTTTCCTTTGCCTTGCAGAAGCTTTTTAGTCTGCTGTAGTCCCATTTGTTCATTTTTTCTTTTGTTTTCTCTGCCTGAGTAGAAATGGTATTCAAAAAGATGCTGCTAAGACCGATGTCGAAGAGCATATTGCCTATATTTTCTTCTAGGAGTTTTATGGTTTCAGGTCTTACATTCAAGTCTTTAGCCCACTTTGAGTTAATTTTTGCGTATTGTATAAGATAATGGTCTACTTTCATTCTTTTGCATGTGGCTGTCCAGTTTTCCCAAAATTATTTATTGAAGAGACTTTCCTTTCTCCATTGTATGTTCTTGGCTCCCTTGTCAAAAATTAGCTGTCCACAGATGTGAGCGATTATTTCTGGGCTCTCGATTCTGTTCCATTGATCTGTGTGTTTGTTTTTGTGCCAATATTATGCTGTTTTGATTAGAATAGCTTTGTAGTATATTTTGAAGTCAGAGAGTGTGATACCTCCAGCTTTGTTCTTTTTTCTCAGGATCCCTTTGGCTATTCGGGGTCTTTTGTTGTTCCATATAAATTGTAGGATTCTTTATTCTATTTCTGTGCAGAATGTCATTGGGACTCTGATTGGGATTGCACTGAATCTGTAGATTACTTTCAGTAATATGGACATTTTAACTATGTTTATTCTTCCAATCCATGAGCATAGAATATCCTTCTATTTCTTTATGTCTTCTTCAGTTTCCTTCAATAATGTCTTATACTTTTTAGTGTACAGGTCTTTTGCATCGTTGGTTAAATTTATTCCTAGATATTTTATTCTTTTTGTTGAGCGTGTAAATAAGATTGTATTCTTGACTTCTCTTTCTGCTAGTTCATTATTAGCATATAGAAATGCAACTGATTTTTCTAAGTTGATTTTATACCCTGTAACTTTGCTGTAGTTGTTGATTATATCTAACAGTTTTCTGGTGGATTCTTTAGGGTCTTGTACATATAGAATTATGTTGTCTGCAAACAGCAAGAGTTTCACTTCCTCCTTTCCAATTTTGATACTTTTTCTTTCTTTCTCTTGCCTAATTGTTCTGGCCAAAACCTCCAGTGCTATACTGAACAGGAGGGGCGAGAGTGGCACCCTTGTCTTGTCCCTGTTCTCAGAGGGATGGTTTTCAGTTTTTCCCTGTTGAGTATGAAGTTGGCTGTGGGCCTGTCATATATAGCCTTCATTATGTTGAGGTACTTTTCTTCTATACCCCTTTTATTGAGAGTTTTTATCATAAATGGATGTTGGATCTTATCAAATGCTTTCTCTGCATCTACTGAAATGATCACATGGTTTTTATTCCTCATTTTGTTAATGTGGTGTATCACACTGATTGGTTTGCGGATGTGAAACCATCCCTGCGTCCCTGGTATAAATCCCACTTGATCATGGTGTATGATCCTTTTAAAGTATTGCTGTATTTGGTTTTCCAATATTTTTTTTCTTTTTTGTGTGTGTGAGGAAGATCAGCCCTGAACTAACATCCATACCAATCCTCCTCTTTTTTTGTTGTTGTTTTTTTGCTGAGGAAGTCTGGCCCTGGACTAACATCCATGCCCATCTTCCTCCACTTTATACGGGACGCCGCCACAGCATGGCCTGACAAGCAGTGCCTCTGTGCACGCCCAGGATCCGAACTCAGGCCACCAGCAGCGGAGTGCGTGCACTTAACTGCTATGCCATGGGGCCGGACCCATCAGTTTTCCAATATTTTGTTGAGGATTTTTGCATCTGTGTTCATCAGCAATATTGGCCTATAATTTTCCTTCTTTGCGTTGTCCTTGTCTGGCTTTGGGATCAGGGTGATGTTGACATCATAAAATGTGTTAGGAAGTGTTCCATCTTCTTCAATTTTTTGGAATTGTTTGAGAAGGATAGGTATTAAATCTTCTCTAAATGTTTGGTAGAATTCTTGACAGAAGCCATATGGTTCTGGACTTTTACTTTTTGGGAGGTTTTTGATTACTGTTTCAATCTCTTTACTTGTGATTGGTCTATTCCGATTCTCTATTTCTTCTTGATTCAGTTTTGGGAGGTTGTATGATTCTAAGAATTTATCCATTTCTTCTAGATTGTCCAACTTGTTGGCATATAGCTTTTCATAGTATTCTCTTATAATCTTTTGTAGTTCTGTGGTATCCATTGTAATTTCTCTGCTATCATTTCTAATATTATTTGTTTGAGCCTTCTCTCTTTTTTTCTTAGTGAGTCTGGCCTAAGGTTTGTCAATTTTGTTTACCTTCTCAAAGCACCAGCTCTTAGTTTCATTGATCCTTTCTACTGTTTTTTTGGTTTCAATTTCATTTATTTCTGATCTAATTTTTCTTATTTCCCTCCTTCTGCTGGCTTTGTTCTTCTTATTCTAGTTCTGTTAGGTGTAGTTTTAAGATTGCTTATTTGAGATTTTTCTCATTTGTTAAGGTGGGCCTGTATTGCTATGAATTTCCCTCTTAGGACTGCTTTTGCTGCATCCCATATGAGTTGGTATGGGTCCATTTTCATTTTTCTCCAGATATTTTTTGATTTCTCCTTTAATTTCTTCCGTGATCCATTGGTTGTTCAGAAGCATGTTATTTAGTCTCCACATATTTGTCATTTTCCCAGCTTTTTTCTTGTAGTTGACTTCTAGTTTCATAGCATTATGGTCAGAAAAGATGCTTGATATGATTTCAATCTTCTTAAATTTATTGAGGCTTGCCTTGTTTCCCAACATATGGTCTGTCTTTCAGAATGTTCCATGTGCACTTGA